TGGATGTAATGATTGAGCAGATGTCATGGTTGCTGATTCTGGATCTTCTCCTATCGAACAGTGATGAGTTTTTGAACAAAGTTCTCGAGGAAGATGGAAATGAAAAGGCGTGTGCGTGCACTCTGTTTCTCATTGTCTTTTCATATGTATTCTGCAACATGAAAGAGCTGTGACAACAAGTATTGCTTTTCTTCTTTTGCCATGCTGCGATAACGTTTTGCATGATACTGTAGGAGCTAAAACTACTATGATATGAAGTCATACAGTTTGATTCAAGGTCGATAGCTAAAAGAAGTAAAATTTATTAATGTCCTTTTCCTTTCAAATGTGCAAGTAATTCATTTGCACTTGAGAGTCGAATCCGATTCAAAATCTTTCTTGCGGTACTAAGAGCTATTATTTTGGCCTTTCAAATTCAACTTCTTTCCTGAGGTAGTGATACCATTTGTCCCCATGGCCATCTAGCAGGAATTCCTAAAAGGTTATCTGCCCGGAAAACCATCCGCTTGAAATTTCATCATCTCTTCATCGATTGTCTCACTCTTCAAAAAGCAATGCCTGAATCATCTATCAGTTGAAATACTATTGAACTGCCGATTAAAGGCAAACAGACCATGGTTGCGAAAGAGTGATAAGAGGGTTTTATGATCCATTGAGAGATCGATCCATTATGGTAGCTGATCATGATTGAGTGCTTTTTATCGGGATTTCTATATCAAATGTTAAAATACACAAACACTTTGAAAAAGTTTCAATTATAACGGCTGACATCTACTGCAGTAATCTAATCCACTGGCAGGAGCTGCATCTGCACCTCCATTCCTCATCCCTTTCGACAACTTCATCGTTGAGCCCATGACTATGGAGAGTGGGAGAAATTTTAGGTGACTGACCAAAATATCCCTTTCTTAGGCCCACTAAGAGCACGAGATCTTTCCAAAAAGGGCATATAAAATGAAAAATATCAGAGGAAATCCAAACCTCAAATTCTCATTGGCTGCTTGAGCTGATGTGGCACTTACCTCCAAAATGTACTTATCTTATCTATTGTTGCCCTCCCCATCCAATGACAGAAAGACCTCACTCTTTTCTCTTTTCAGTTATCTGATCCTATGGATTCTATATATATATATATAGCCCTTCACTAATATCTCTTCCAGTGCGCTCTTCTTCCAGTGCTTTGTTCACTCTTTTTGTTGCACCTTTAGTTTACAAGAGAGGATTTTTACGCATCCATTTCAGATAAATTTTGGAACTTTCAATTTGCAAGAACCAAATGGCTCTTCAGGCTGCTGCATTGCTCCCATCCGTTTTCACCATTCCCAAAGAGGTTTGTCACTGTCAACTCATTGCTCTCTGTACTTTCCTACACTTGTCCCTGATAAAAATGAGCTGGACTAAGGACTACGAATTATGGGCATCTGAAAAGTTTAGAGAATTTTTCAAATTTTTTTTGGCAGGGCAAATCTAGTGCATCCTTCAAAGATTCGAGCTTGTTTGGGGTTTCATTCTCTGAGCATGTCAAAGCTGACTTCAGCTCCTCTGCGTTGAGGTGCAAGGTAATTTGGGTATCCTACATTGGTTCCTTTCACTACCCTGAAAATGAGCTACATGCAATGAACGATGGTAGATCATTACATTATCGCTCTACGACTTGGAAAAGAAGGAGACATAATCTCAAGGATCTGAATTTTAGGAAATCATTATCCTCTAGCATACAAGCTGCTTACTGATGTGTCAAGCTGAAAATTTAGTAGCATTGGATGTGAAACTTGTGTTAACAGTATCAGAGTATTTAATGCAGAGGGAATACAACCAAAGAAATGGAGCTGTCAGAGCCCAAACAATAGCTTCAGCTCCCTCGGTGACCCGGGCCGCCCCTGAGGGCAAGAAAACCTTGAGAAAGGGCAGTGTTATAGTCACTGGTGCCTCGTCAGGATTGGGTCTGGCCACTGCCAAGGCTCTTGCTGAGACTGGAAAATGGCACGTGATCATGGCCTGCAGGGACTTCCTCAAGGCCGAAAGAGCGGCCAAATCAGCCGGGATCGCCAAAGAGAACTACACGATCATGCACTTGGACCTTGCCTCACTTGACAGCGTGAGGCAATTCGTCGACAATTTCAGGAGATCGGAACGGCCGCTCGATGTTCTTGTTTGCAATGCTGCTGTTTATCTGCCAACTGCTAAGGAACCCACTTTCACAGCTGAAGGATTCGAGCTCAGCGTTGGGACTAACCACCTCGGGCATTTCCTCCTTTCAAGGCTGTTGCTTGAGGACCTGAACAAATCTGATTACCCATTGAGGCGACTCATCATAGTCGGCTCAATCACGGGTACTGATTATAACCTTATTGATTGGACTTGCTACATGCAATGATGTGCTTTAGATATCAAATGCGTTTTCTCGTAGTACTTTGCAAAGGATAGGCATTCATTGTCAATGTACATGATCATGAGTTCACTCAATCAATACATGGTTGAATTCTTGACTTAATGTTGCTAATGAAGTTGATTCTTACAATCAGGGAACACAAACACCTTGGCTGGGAATGTACCTCCGAAGGCCAGCCTTGGTGACTTGAGAGGACTGGCAGGAGGGCTGAATGGGCTGAACAGCTCGGCCATGGTTGACGGTGGAGATTTCGATGGCGCCAAGGCCTACAAGGACAGCAAGGTGTGCAACATGCTTACAATGCAGGAGTTCCACAGGCGCTACCATGAGGAAACTGGAATCACGTTCGCGTCCCTATACCCAGGATGCATCGCCACGACCGGCTTGTTCAGGGAACACATCCCGCTCTTCAGGTTGCTCTTCCCGCCTTTCCAGAAGTACATCACCAAGGGCTTTGTCTCCGAAGATGAAGCCGGAAAAAGGCTTGCTCAGGTAGAAAAAATAAAGACAGAACTAGATCTTCTTCAGGGATCTTCTTTAGGTTGTTATGAGGCAATTAAGTTTGCGATTGGATGCTAAGTTTATTTGCTTTCTGTGACTCAGGTTGTGAGTGAACCGAGCTTGACAAAGTCTGGGGTGTACTGGAGCTGGAACAAGGATTCAGCATCGTTCGAGAACCAGCTGTCCCAGGAAGCTAGCGATGTCGAAAAGGCGCGTAAAGTTTGGGAAGTCAGCGAGAAACTCGTCGGTTTGGCCTAAATGAGCTCTTTGGATTGTACCCAAACGGATCCTTGGAGAAAGAGGATGTTCATCAGGAAGAGAGTAGAGTTGATTCCTTTTAACCAAGTGCGGAGCTTAGAACTGGAGCATGAGCGATTGTAAACAATTCATCGTTTGCAGGTGCAGGTGACTTGTAAGTTGGGATTGGCAATAAAACAGCTCATGTCTTCTCGCATAGTTTAATTCCAAGTAGCAGCAAAATAACGAGGCAATGAATGAACTTTGGAGTACTTGAGACAGTGTCCTTATGTTACATTGGCTCACATTTGTCATACACATGCATCAATGGCATGCGAAATTGTGCCAAAATTCTTCCCTTACAGCAAAGTGCAGAAGAATTGCAGATCGACTATGAAGCACGGGGCTTAGCCGATAAGATGCAAAACTGAGGTGAAAATTAGTGAGGGATGGATCAAAATCCACTCGCACGCCGCGACATTCGGAAGCTAAAAGAAACCTTTCTCATATCTAGGACCCCTGAGAGAATTCGCAATGCTCGGGTTCATTCTCCTTCCTATTTTTTTGCGTATAATTAACTAATGTTCTTGCAAAATCTCGGGCGCGCGCTCTTAACACGACATCACCAAGAAAGAAAGCGCCTTACTTAAAAGTCCGTCATACCTGTCACCGGAGCTAACAACTACGAAACAGGTCGTGTTCTTGACAGCAACCATAGGAACTAGGAAGTACAGTAACCATTTCTGTGTGTTGATCGGGTACTGTTAAATACTAATCGCGTCGTTCAAATTACATGAACATAAGCTTGACGTATGGTGCCACATCCTCATTTTGTGCTTGCATAATAATCCGCTTAATATTAAATCAAATCATAAACTATAGTGTAAACTATACTAATATACCTAAAACACGTAATAAATATAAATACTAAATTAAATATATATTCTATATATAGAAAATAGATATTCTAGAATAGAAAGAAATTCAAATATATACCACCCGCCTGGGTGGCGCTGCTGGAAAGGGCACTCTTCCTCTCGCAAAAAGTTTTCCCCCAGGGTTTACCTCCCGGCTGTCGGCCGTGCGGGGGTTCCCTGGGTTACCAAAAAAATAAAAATAAAAATTCAAATATATAAATAAAAAAACAAAACTCGTTATTTTTGTGCTGTTATTTTGAATTTTCTTTTTTTTATTAGAATTTAAATATTATTTAAAGTATTGTTTTAACTTTTCTTAATTTAAGAAGTTTGTTATTCATGTGGCCTCATCATTAGTTTTTTTTTTCTTTCGAAAAGACTTTTTTTTCCTATGGGCCTTTGGCAACCCAATCCGTGGCTATTAGGTTTGAAGTAACACGCTAGAGTTTCTGTTCGGACAGCTTCACGTTTTGTAGGGTCTTGTATTACTTGTCCCCGTGTTCGTCACTCGTTTTGTAGGGTCTTGTATTACTTGTCCCCGTGTCCGTCACTATTTTATGCGAATCTAGTCGAGTGATCGGTCTATCGGTATATTCTTTTTCTTTTTTTATCTGTCCTATCTCCTAACTCTCCTCACTTTCTGACTTTTGATCTGCCTTTTGTAAAGCGAGGGAGTCGGACCCCACATCTATGATACTGGCGTCCCCACCCCCTCCCCCGATCCCTTTACCAGCAGGGCCGCATGCCTACCGGCGTATATTCGTCTTTTGATTTGGTTTAGTTTTGTCCAATTGAATAAACCATGTCCTTGAGGTACGTATCGTGTGATTCGGACACTGGACTGGGCCGGATCGTTTGGCATCAGGCCCATTAACTGCAAGGCCCAAGATTTCGACACAAATCGGCCCTCACCTTCTGCGCTCTTTCCCTCCTTCTTCGCCTTCTTCTTCTTCCTTTGGTCCTCCTCGTCTAGGGTTTTGCGAGGGGGTTTTTTCTGATCAGTCCCTTCGCTTTGTCCTGCGATTAGGCTACGTTCAATCGAAGCGTTCGAGGATCAATGGGGAAGAAGCGGAAGCAAAGAGAAGCTGAGAACAACGGCCCAGAGGAGGCGGCGGCGGCGGCGGCGAAAGAAGATGCCGCGTCGGAGGAGAGGCCTAAGCGGACGCTGCTCGGCTGGAAGGAGAAGCCGCAGGAGAACGTGGATGCCGCCGCCGCCGCCGCCGCCGTCGCTGCTCCGGGTTTCAGGAACAAGGAGAAGGTCCTCGTCACTTGCTCCCGTCGCATCAATTTCAGGTTCGAATCGCTTCTGGGTTCTTTGTTGTTTTTTTGGGAATGGGTTTGGTTTGTTCCGGTATTGAGCTTTTTCCGTCGATGGGCAGGTATCGGCACTTGATGTTGAATGTGGTGTCGCTTCTGCCGCATTGCAAGAAGGACAACAAGGTCGAGTCCAAGGAAACTAAAGGCGCCACTCTCAACGAGCTCGTTGAGCTCAGGAATTGCTCCTCTTGCCTGTTTTTCGAGGTAGAATCGCATCCCAGTTTCGATGACGAGTGCGGATTCGGAAAAGTCGACGACTTGATGCATTCTCTGTTTCTTCCACTTCAGTGCAGGAAACATTTGGACCTCTATCTGTGGATGGCAAAGTGCCCGAATGGTCCATCTGTGAAGTTTTTAGTAAATGCTGGTAATTTCTCTTTGGAGAATCTCCTCGGTGGAGCTGTTGTATTAGTGTCGCGATGCGGATTTGACTTGTTTGTGATCCGTGTGGCATTTTTCGGTTGGGGACTCCGATGAACAAAGATTGATCTAATCTCTCTTGTTCTGATATTTTAGTGCACACTATGGAAGAACTGAAGCTTACTGGAAACCATTTGAGAGGTTCGCGGCCCCTTTTAACTTTCTCGGCCAATTTCGATAAGGATGCCCATTGGATGCTTCTGAAGGAGATGCTCATTCAGGTATATACACAGGCCTCTCTAGCATATTCAGATGATATCCTGTGTAACACTCATTATTATCTCTGTCCATTTTGTGTGGTTACCATTATAGCTTCCTTGTGATCATCTACTTGTTTTTAAATTTTTTGTTTTTGTTTTGGTTCTTTCAAAGTCTCTAAGCTCTTGAAGCTGAGTATATATGTATCTGCTTGTCAGCAGTGCCAGATGATGCTTTTGCATAAACTTTGTGGAGATTGTACAATTTAGCAGCTGATGTTTTTAACTGAATTTTCTTGGCCAGATTTTTGGAACTCCAAAGGGACATCAGAAATCTAAGCCATATCACGATCATGTCTTTGCCTTCTCAATTGTCGATGATCATATATGGTTCCGAAACTACCAGGTTGGTTCAAATCCCACTCAATTGTTGGACCATTCTTTTGCATTCTTAGACATCTTGCTGTCAGACCACAAAAATGGATATTTGCCTATGAAGTAGAATGCATAACTTCTTAATTTGGAGCTCTTAAGCTCAAAAAAACTTGGAAGGAATATTTTACCTGGTCTAAGGCATTTCGAATTAGAATTTGACTCTTTATGTGGATGTCTAGTCTTTTCTGGTTATAGATCATACATGTATAGTATGTATTCATTCAGGTAGAGGAATTAAGTCTTCTGGAGATTTCTATATGCAGTCTCAGAATGCATGTTATGACTGTATATTCCTTGGTTGTGATATTATTGGGACAGAGTGCAACAATTGCTAAAGTTTATGTGAACATGATGCAACACTGGCAATTGAAGTTTGAGCTGTTAATTCAGCTTGGGATTATATTCTTCAGAAAATTCATTATGAATTATATTCTGTTTCCTTTATATTGACATTTTGTCTTTCATAAACCAGATAGCCGTTCCACACTTGGGATTATATTCATCAGAAAATCGATTATGAATTATATTCTGTTTCCTTTATATTGACATTTTGTCTTTCATAAATCAGATAGCTGTTCCACACAACGAATCGGATAAGGTGGCTCGAGGGAGCTTGGACAAAATGACTCTTGTCGAGGTAGGCTGCCATAAAAATGACATGAATGGTGTATGCTTCGATATGTGCATGAGCATGATTAGATTTTCTGATATGGTTCACATGACTGTAAAATATTGTGGAAAATTGGAGTCTCAAGTCGCTCACCTTTTTACTCCATTAGGTTGGCCCAAGATTTTGTTTGAATCCGATCAAGATATTCGGTGGTAGCTTTGGAGGCCCTACGCTGTACGAAAATCCATTTTATGTATCGCCAAACCAGGTAAAGCATTTGGAGTAGCCTTTAATTGCAAATAAGGATAGGCAGTGACATGACATGCAAAATGCATATGGTTTACAATACGGACATGTTTTTGGACATTTACTGGATGGATTGAAACTGCTGATTTGCCTCCGGGTGGTACTTGTATGAAGCAGCCCTTGGTTTTGTTTAATATTTCTTCTTCTTTTCGCCAAAGGATTCTTCCTGTCATTGTGTCTTTTTCCCTTTTACATTTTTAAATGTGTAAAAGCATGCATTAGTACCATGGCCTTTCCATCTTGACACGTTAATAATGTTTTGTGCTCCTTTTATTTCAGATTCGAGCGTTGCAGAAAAAGCAGAAGACAGGCAAGTATGCGAAGAAGGTCAAGGCGAAAACAAGAAGAAGGATGCATGAATTATCAAATCCACTGGAGCCTGATGAATTTGCTGAAATGTGGAAAGAGTAAACTATACGCTCCTTGCGCTTTGAAGCCAAGGGAAAACGAGAGAACCTATTACCTTGTAGTCATCATGAAGTTACGGAATCTTATCTATCTTGATTTTGTATGAATTCTATATCGTGATAATTTGGCAGTTCAGTTTTGGGAAAGCTATATCAAGTAGAGTTTATTCTTTTCAACGCGAGTTGCATTGTAACTGTAGCAAATCGATTCAAAGCGTTAACATGTGGAATGAGGGGAGTTTCGTGCCTTATTGTCGATTCTTGGTGGATTTGGTGATTTACTGGGAGTATAAATTGTTCCATTTCTTGGCCAGAGGTAGAAAAATTTCCTTGCATCTGTATCTGTTGTTCCGTTTGTTCATGGTATGCCAAAGATGAAAGCCGATGCGGAATGTATTTAGCAGCAATTGCGACGCACCGATGCTTTGTCGCTGGTTCGGTTTAAATAAATTCTGAAGAATCAAGTCTCTCTCTCTCCCTCTTCCCTTAGCTTTTCATTCATCTGAACAAAATTTCTTCTTACTTCTTCCATAGGCTGGTATCCAATATCATGATCAAGAAAATTTAAGAACAGAGAACGAGTAAAAGTTCAGCTTTCTTGGAGGCATTTTGAAAAGATGAGCTCTCATTTATCATCACTAACATACAGAGAGTGCACCGGCTTAGGAAGAACAAGGACAAGGAAAGGACAAGGATTTTGTAACTAGCGATCGATGAGCGAGGGTGAGATCTTGAGTCAATTAATGTGAATCCCACTCCATCCAGTTCGATTCGCTACCTCGGCGAGGAATGCTGTTGACCCTCGTGAACTTATCAACATTAAAGTTGGCCCCACACATCACGCCCTCACTGTCCACCCTCGGCATCGCCTTCATCTTGTTCATCGGATGCTCGAAGCTCATCAATCCTCCTTCGCTGTGGAACATGCACCCTGCAAATGAAACCCATTGCGGATTCATCACCTCTCATTTATCACGAAGTAAATTAAACAAACGATGCCAACCATTGTGTGCCTTCACATACCTTTGGGGAAGGGAGCATAAGACTTGGCACACCCTGCCTTTATGACTTCCTTGTCATCACATATCACAACAGAGCCATCACCTGCAATCCCCCAGTACAGCTTCTCTCCTCCATCAGAACCCTAAAACCGACCATCCACATAAACCCAACAATTTAAAGAACAAGAACTCCATAGTATTTACTTCGTCAATCTGTATTTCCAAAATTCAGAAAGTATTACTGCTCTGTAGTTCAATTAACTCATATTTCACATGAACTCATGATCTTATGCAGCCAAAATAAAGGTTGAAGTTGAACTACTATAGCTATACCTTAAGAAAACAAAGGTCAGTACATCATGCTATTGTACAGGGTAGAGTTGGACACAGACCCTAACCCTTTTGCACAGTGAGTGATTGGCCATAACCAACTAAACCCAGATGATAACTTCTGATTTATCAGGATAGAAAGAGAGGAGAGAAGTTTCATGATACCAGTGCAGTGAAGACGGTCCCAATCTTGCTGTCATAGACAACGAAGGCAAAGCTACCATCGAGATCCTTCACCACCTGATCAGCCGGGTATGGACCCCTGTCCCTGAGCGTCCTGTATGCCTCTATCACAAACTGGGCCTCGTTGCTTCCCTTGGCCAGCCCGTACTGCTTGTTCAGCTGATTCAGGTTGTTCAGGCTCCCCATGAACAGGCAGTATATATCATCAAATCCACAAAACAACCTAGCAACAAATGAACTCAAAACAAAGTAAGAACTTGGGTTCATAAATCAAACTACAGAAGACCACTCAGATCAAGCACAGTCCCAGAGCCAACCTCTGGCGGAGGGAAAAGGGGTTGTCAGGCCTGACATAGGCAAGAGCAGCAGCGTCCCCAAAGGTCATAGAGAAGGTGTTGTTCGGATGGTGCGAGACGAACTCTCTGAGGGTCTCATCTGGGAGCTTGGGCTTCCTAGAGCCACTGTGAGAGGCGGGGCTGTTCAGCTCCTCCGGTGGGTGTGCAAATGCCTTGTGAAATATTGCCAACATTGTTATCCTACTTTCTTGTTGTCTTCTCGAAGACTCGCACAAAGATGATACCTGATCAAAGTGACTAACTTCTTTTTTTTATCGGTCGGACAAAGTAAACTGACATGAGAGGTGGGTTCTGTGCTAGGACTGAAAATAGAGAGTTGGTAAAGCAAGAATCATTGGAATTTATAGCGTCATTTTCGGGTCCAGAAGGAGGGGCGAGAGACGAGCCTATTCTGGTATTATTATGATATTGTGGGCTACGGAACTTTAGCAGTGTGACGGATAAGGCTTCCCGAACGCCAATGGGTTCTTATCTTTAATATTTGTTTATTCATTTCTGTAGTTTTTTTCTTTCTTCTCATTTTGCAGTATTTGAGTTGGAATTGAGACCTGTCAGCCGAAATTTCTTGTCCTCATATTCCCCTTTTCTTTTTTGCCATTTCTTCTCAGTCAGTTTCCCCCTTTTTCCGCCTCTTCGGTCACCATTCACCACATTACAAAATGGGATTATTTTTGGGGAGTTGCGAGGAGATGACGAAAAAGACAAATCAAAACGCACTTTTATCTTGCAGACATATATAATTCATGAGATAATTCAAAGTCACTTTGAAGTTCCCTTGTTGGCAGGTTCATCTGAGTTTTCCTAATGCAGTGAAGTGATAAAGATAAAGCTGTGCCGAGGGAAAGATATGGTTAGGTGGGGGTGCAGGGAATCTTGCTGGTTCATCTTTATCCAAAAGTGGTGTGAGCAAGGTGTGACAATTACACCGAAGAAGAGTCAAGCCGGCGATCTTGCCATCTGTTTCTGGTTCATGAGTCGAGAGTTTCTGTGGGTGCATGTGGGCTTACCATGGAAAAAAAGCTGCATTTCATTTTCATCATGTTCGGGCCTACTTGTTGGCTTGTGGTGGCCATTGGTCCCCGCTTATCATGATTCCTAGTGAATGACGTCAAGGGAAGCTATTGCTTAAGGGGAAGTATAGTCAAATCCAGTCTCCATCAATCCCCAGCTTTTACTATAAATTATTAAGAGATGGTGATGAGTGCTTGTGCAGCCCCAATCATTTCTTTTTTTTTTTTTTTGGTCTAGACAGCCCTAATCATTTCGAAAGCTGGAACTTTTTTCTCTGTCCATTGATATTTGCTAACTGAAAATCTTGAACAAGAGTATAGCTAAATATAAGTTGGGGATACCAACGTGTGAGTTGTTTAGAAAAGCCCACGTCAGAGTTATCGGTATGATGTAGAGTTATTGTATATTTTCGTTGACTCATAACTCATTAATTTAAGTTTTTGAGTAAATATTAATATAACTAAATATATTGACGAGTTTGGATTTGCTCCCTTCCTTTGTGATACCTCAGATGAAGGCTTCTACTGTGCATTCCCAATAATTTATAACAGAGTCGATGGTTGATTGGTGCCCCACTTCCATTGTGGATTGGTGCTTAGTGAAATATCTTAAAAAAGGAATCTAACCTATGCGGTTTGAGGGCAGAATGGTTCGGTGTAGCGGAAGAGACCTAGAGTTGAAGTGAGTGACGTGGTATAATAATGCGAGCTCAATGATAGCCATCGTGGTTTGGTTTAGTGAAAGGTATCAAGGATGAAGGTAAGCATTGGAGAGTCAAGTCTAGACATGTTATGATACCTGAATCAAGGGAAGCAGATTTAACACTGTGTTTAAACGTGATGGGGAGATTGCTGAGATACACATATAAATTTGTTAGAATAGTCCGATATTGGCAAATTGGTTCGATGGTAACATTCATGGTCTGGTTTGGAGAAAAGCTAAGAATGAAGATGGGTGTTGGAAATTTAAGTCTCGACATGTTGATACATAATAATACCTAAATTAAGGGGGGAGGATTTAACATTTAGACTAAAGGTGCGTTTGTTTGAAGGAAAGTATTTTCCGGGTTATTTTCCGAATTTTCACCCATTTGATTCGTCGAAAATGATAAATCAACGGAAAATACTTTCCGGTCAAGGAAAATATCATGTATAATATAAGGAAAGTGAATTCCTTAATCTGAGGAGGTGAAAACACTTTCCGAAATTGCTTACATTAACTTTTTTAATATTTTATTCTTTTCTTTTCTTTGTTCTTTTTTCTTTTTTTGCTTTTCTTTTCTTTTTCTTTTTTTCTTTCATTTTTTTTTCTTTTTTCTTCCCTGCGCCGGTCACATGAAATCATTTTCTAATGAAGTCCAAATATCATAAAACAATTTCAATCATATATCACCAAACAAAAGAAAACTAATCAATTTTCCTGAAAAATACTTTTCGATATCATTGAGCTTTCCGCGAAACAAACTCACTCTAATGTAAGAGGGAGATTGTTGATATGCACGTGTGAATTGTGTTAGAAAAGTATTGCGTCAAAGAATTGGTGGGTGGAGAGTAGTTAATATATCATGGTTGGCTCATAACTAATTAATGTAAACTTTTGAATGAAAATAGGTTCAACTAAATATATTGATATATTCGAACAACCCCTCGACAATCTCCTTGAATGAAAGTATCGAGTTTTTGCCGTGCGCTCCCAACATAAGCAACCATGTGTAGCAATGTTGTCTCGATGGATCTGATCCTAAGCTCAAACGTTAGGGGTAGATTGGATGGATCTAAATCGATAGATTGTCGAGGTACACGTTTAAATTGAGTTAGAAAAACTCTGCATCAGAGTATTTGTGTGGTGTAGAGCAATTAATTTATATCCTAACTAGCTCATAATTCATTGGTTTAGGCTTTTTGAGTGAAGGTGTGAATATTGATAGGCTCGGACTCTCACTTGGTGATCTCCTCGGATGAAGGTATTGAGCTTTTACCACGCGCTCCCAACACAAGCAGCTAATAGCTATGCGTTACACTATCGTGGTTATCGTGAAAAAGACTTAATCGACCGTTGTTTTCGATCACTCGAGCACTCAACACTCGCGATAATCCATCGCCATCGCGACCGTAGTATTGGCCAAATGATTTTTCGCGAAGATAAGTGGGGCGGCCTTCGGTTTCCTTTCAATTATTTTGGTGAGACAAAGTGAATATTTGGTAGGGCATGTCAAATATTGATTGAAATATGAATGTATTCATTAGCTTCAACTCATTAATGGACGGACCACTTAGTCCCCCGATCGAAACCCAACGTGACATATAGGCCGCGGACGGTGTAATGAAGCTTTTGACTTCGTGCCGCACAAGAGACGAGACGGAGCCCCGTCTCGGCTCGGCCCACTAGATGTTTATAGTGGAGTTTCATGGTTGAATGATCCTCGTTGTTCTCGAAAAAAGAATTAGATCAGGCCCATAATATTGTTGGGCTGCAGAGCAACCTGTATAATGATGGTAGTCTTGGGCCTACCTCTAAAAGCACCCGTATAATGATGGTGAGAAATTGGTTTTTACCTAAGTTGGTGCGTCAATACCACTCATACATCTCTCTCTCTCTCTCTCTCTCTCTCTCTCTCTCTCTCTCTCTCTCTCTCTCTCTCTCTCTCTCTCTCTCTCTCTCTCTCTCTCTCCATGTCGTTCGCCAAATATTCGCCAGCGGAAATATTACCAGACAAATCTTAAATCTACTGTATGAATGTCAATTAAGTTAAAAAACTTTTATTTTAGCCAATTTAGTCATAAACATTTTGACAATTTGCCAACACAGTCATTCCAGCCAATTTTGGTTGGCAATTGCTAATGTCGATAATTTTTTGCATTTTTTTAAAAAAAATTAAAAAAATTTATAATTTTTTCATTTTCTTTCAGTTTTTTCCTTCTTTCTCCAATTGTCGGCCCGGCCACACGCGAGGTCCAACCTCACCAGCCTCAAGCAACGCTCGTTGACCTCGCTGGATCTGGCGAGGGTGAACCTTTCTCGCCTGTGGCTGGTTTCCAACCATTGCAACCCGTTGAAGAAAGGAAACAAAGAAAGAAAGAAAAGAAAAAATTCACAAAAAAATTTAAAAAATTGTTCATGTCAGCAACAATCGTGCACGTAGAACTACAGGCATCCATGATAGTGATTGCCGGGCAAAATTGATCGGAAGAGTTATATTGACAAATTGTCAAAAGGTTTAAAACTGAATTGGTATCCGTACAATATGTTTAGGGCTTTTTTTGGTATTTGTCTCATTCGCCAACGAGCGAATACGAATCTCACGACTGAATTGGCTTGCCATGTCAGCGGAAGGGGCCGAATTTGTTCAAATCCAAGATTGTAATGTCTAATTTGATCAAAAGCAAAGTTCAAATACCAAATTGAATGTTGACTAACCATTCAGAATTCAATTTTGACATTGTCCCTCTCCCTAGAGGCTTTTAAGATTCTCGTGTTACGCATACTTTGATGCTTTTCTTCTTTCCTCTCGAAAGAGAGAGGTGATCCATCAAAGGCGCGCAAGTTGAGGCACGCCGAAAGAGAAGATAAGCGACATGTCGTTGAATGCCTCTTATACGAATGTCGTATAGCGCAATCAGTGACACTGCCTATCATAATGCTTCCAAGGTCCCATCACGTTCTTGTACCTATCCCTCACATGCGAAACGCAACGGAGGCTCTCGCAGCTTATACTTACACTAACTTCATCTGGTGCCCACTGCCTTGTTTCCTTCCCTACTTTACCCTCTCTCTACTTTGAATTCACCTATTAATTGATCGTCGAAGTCGTGGATTGCTGATGAATAACGGATTCTAGACCTCTTCGTAGCAAGTGATTTCATATTCGAGCCACTCGTTGGAATTTCTTTCTCCGTGACTTACACGATTCATGAAATAAGTGCATGCTATGATAGGATTGATTACATACTTGAGGTGGGGTTTTGTTTTCTCACCGTAAAAGAACATATGTACGAAAATCCATTGCATGCGACGGACCAATTGATATGCATCATTGCCTGGTGTGGTATAGTAGTTTCAAGATCATTGTTCAGACAAAAAAGGGGTGTTCGTGGAGGTACAACTGATCGGCAAATGGGAAAGCTTGTAAATTACACGATTGATGGCAGATATTGCTCGTCTCTTACTCCTACTCCATGAGCAGACGGACATCTTTCATGGAGAGGGAGACGACAAACTTTGTTTGGTCGAAAACACGAAAGAAAAACCTTCCTACATGTGGGCCGTATAAAGCCAAGCTAGGACCCAAAAAGCAAATAATGTTTATGAGGAATCTTGTTGGTCTTATATTTGTCTAGCTGCCGATGATAAGCAACACCGATCTTTGCTCCATTATCGTTCTTCCTGTACCAATTTGTCTACA